GGGGGGGGGGGGTCACCCGGCATCCAATCTCACCAACTGTGGGGAGATCCCACGTGGCCAATCTTACTGATGGTGGGGGGTCCCCCTCTGTGGCTGATGGCAAAGTGCCCACAGAGCTCTCACTCTCTGGCCAGCATTCGCGGGGGGGGGCACTGGCACTCCCACCTGTCCTACCCTACGTGTTGCCTAAGTGGCAAGCACAGCCTGTCAGGGAGTGCATGTGCACCCCCTACACGTCGCCACTTCTGTAGAGTAGTGGTTCTCAACTTTCTTTTGTAGTCAAGACATCCCTCCACCATTTTTTTTTTTTTAAAGATGGTAGGAGCCCCAGTAAAGAACTACTGTTGGTGCTGCCTCACCTTACCTCAGTACTTCTCAAATGGGCACTGCTGTATCCAAGTAAGCCTGCCCTCTGTACCTGCTGTATAGCCACAGGACTGGCTGTGGCACATGCACACATTAAGGCTCCAACATTTATGGCTCTCTGATAACCCTAAAGCAGAACAAGATACAAATTCATGTTGGAGCCCTTGGAGAACATGGTGGGTTTTACCCGAAAGGGACAGAGCCCAAGCAAGCTCTCCTGTCCCAGTTTCAGGTTGTTAGAGGGTCCTAATGCAGCAAGTGTGCATATGTGCCACAGCCTACACACTGGGTAATTTTTCTATGGTGATAGCACCTGTGTTGTAGCACCTCTTAGCAGAACGGCTGCTGTAGGGCATCTCTTGCCATGCTTGGAAGGGTTGTTTGTACCTCAAGAAGAAAGGAATCTCAGGATGGTGAAGTGATGGTGACTTCAAGCTGCTGGTGAATACATAACACTTGAGGCAGTCTTGCCACAGTTTCACACCCTGATAAACAGGTTGCTAGTGAGTGAAGGATGGCTAAGTGTCATAGGATAGGTTCTGAATCTACTCACACTCCCCTATCAGTGCTAGGCATTGCCTGGTGGACCTTCACTTCTTTGCACTGGCCCTGATGCTCAGGTGTAAAAGGTAGTATTAGCATGATATTGCAGCCATGATTGTTTAGGGCTCAACCTCCAGCCCACAGGCCAAACGTGGCTTGAGGAGCCACGGTATCTGGCCCACAGGGCTCCCTGCAGGTCCAGTAATTTGGCAACAGGGGAAAAGTGGCAATTAATATGGCCACCCTCCCCTGCTGCCACATTCCCAAATCCAAAGTCCTGTAGTTCCCTCTCCAGTACAGACAGGGGCCAGACGATACCTCCCCCAACCCCACACTGGATTAGGGCTAGGCTTGGGTCCTGCCGCGGCCATCCCAGGTACCGATTTAGGACCACCAGTTAGATCCGGGCCATGAACGGAACAGGCATTGCCCAAAGGGCCTGGCAGCCAAAAAGGCTGAGCATCACTGATCTAGGAAATTGTTACACGCGAGGCTTTCTTTGGGCAACAGCTTCAATTGCACCACCTGCCTAGCTGTGATAGTTAAGCTCCTGAACAAGGTCTGGACCTCAAAGGGCTCCAGCCTGAGCAGGACCTGAAGGTGTGAAGAAGAGCCCGGCCTTCAAGAAAGCTTGCCATGCTCCATCACCAACCACACAGTTGATCCAGTGCAAAAGACCATCCTAAGAAAGCCTTGCCTCACAGTCATGGAAGGAAAAGGAGATACCAGCAGGATTTCAGTTAGAGGGGAACTGGGGGGAGAAGGGCTGAGCACCCCATTAAGAGATAAGAGCTCCTCTTTTAAGATTTAAAAATCATAATGGGGGCATGTCTCTGATCTTACTAGGGCACTGTGATGGGCAACCCCCTTTTTTTTTTTTTTTTTTTGCAGATCCTGCCAAGTCACAGTATAACTTGAAGCCTGGATACTGGCCCAGCCTGCCTCCCCCATATAGCTGCCAGCTCTGTCTTTGCATCCCCCTCAAGCAGAATCTGCCCCCCTCAGTTGCCCCAGGGGGAAGCACCTAACCAGGGCTGCTCTTTGCCTCTCCCTTCTCCTCCCCCATGCAAGTACACAAGGCTAGGGTATTACCAGCTGCCTTCAGCAGAAGGAATGCTAGCAGCCTAGCTACTGCGGACAGAGCAGAAACCCCCCTATCCCGTGACGCGCCCCAGAGCACAAAGGCGCCAAAATGCTCCAGGCCCCGCCCCTTTTCCACGGGGCGCGCACGTGACAGTTGCCGCCAAAGTCCACAGAACGCCGGGGGCGGGGCTAGGCGTCTTGCCCTTGCCCGGCGCCCCGCTTGCTTCCATTGGGCCACTGGGGACAGAGGGGGCGGGGCCTGTAGGCACCGCCACCCGCCCGTTTTGGCCTTGAACGAAGGGCGGCAATAGCACCTGTTTGCTTCCCGCGCGCATGCGCATGCATGGTGCTATCTCCACGCGCCGCTTCCTCTTCCTCTTCCCCTTCCGGCCGGGTGGAGAGAGGATCCTGGCAACATGGCAGCGTCGGGCCGGCGGCTCCTCTGGGCGGCAGGTAACCGGGCACGGGGCTCCCGGGGGAGATGCTAGGGGTGGCGGGCAGCGTCGCTCAGCTCCGGGCCCTGCCGGGGGTGTGGGCGTTCCGCCGGGCCTGACGTGATCCCTCCGTCTCCCCGGCAGTGTCTGCGCTGGTCCTGGCCTCGGAGGCGGCGGCCGTAGCGGAGCTGGACGACTCGTGAGTACCCCCGAGCCCGACCGCCCTGCTTCCCGGGGGTGGGGTCTGCTTCTTGCGGGGGGCCGAGGCGGGGGTGCCTTTTCCGCCCGGACTCGCTTCCCCCCGCCCCGCAGCCGAGCGGCTTGCCTGAGGCATCATCCTGCTGGCATTGGGGCAGCGTTGCCAGGTCTTAACTATGACAGAATCGTTGTGGAAGCTCGAAACGATCGCATTTCGTTCAGAGCAATACTACAGCTGGTTAAAAAAAAAATGTGAATGAGTATGCAAATAAGTCGTCTTATTTACTTCATATTGCTGGCTACAACTCGCTGGTGAGTGAGTGAGACCCAGGTCATCCAAGTGGAAGCCTTTATTTCGAGGCAAGCAGTCATGAGGATGCATTGATGGCAAGTCCAAAAGTTGGTTAAGGCTCTCTGAGAGCGACTTGGGTTTCACTTGTGCTGCATCAACGAGCTGCCTCAATGATCATACGTTCTGAATGCTTTTACTGTTTTTGATCGTACCTTGTACAAGGCATGAAATTATCATGCAGATACGATAACTTATTGTACACCTGGCAAAGCTGCATTGGGATGTCAGAGCAGGGGGCGCGGGGCTTGGGTTTGTGAAGGCAGTGTCTTTGGGCATTATTACACATGCTACTGATGATGTGGAGCTGGGTGCTTTAATTAGCAAGTTGTGCTAATTCAAAAGTGCCCACGCATCGTGTGTATCGGCAGCACAGCACATCCCCGCTGAGAAAATAGTAGTGAAATAAAGCACATCAAACCTGTTTTAGTTCAAAGTGCACCGCTGCCATTTTCTCAGTGCGGACGCACGCTGCGCCACTGATGCATGAATTGTTTTGTGGCTTGTTACTCGACCTGGTTGGGTGTCAAAAAGGGAAACGTACAGTGGCCATCCTGCCCATGACAGGGAGTATTGCTGATGTTTCTTCTAGCTCATCTCTTGCATTTAAAAGTCCAGCAGCAAGTGGTAGCATGGGGCCAGTGGAGTTATGCTGTTTGCAGGAGTCCTGTCCTGCAAGGTAGGCATCACAGTAACCTGTTACAGTTCTTGCCTGCAGCCTCTTGAGGACTACCTAGATGAGAAGGAACAAAGTTGCACAGCAAGACAGTGACATAGGTACAGATAGAAAGTAGATCCCAGATTTGCAACCAGAAACAGATCCAGGATTTGCAAAGTGGGGTGTGGAAGCCGTAACCAGTGCTGCAGGGGTGTCTGCGCCCACTGCTCCCACCCTTCTCCCTGATCAGGGCAAGCAGACAACGTCACAGGAACAGCAGTCGGGGACTCTCAGGTCCCCAAAGCAGGTAACAATTCCTCCCTTACATCCCTGCTGAGGCACCTCCTCTCCCCTTCTCTACTCCTGCTGCTTCTGCTACACAGCTGCTCTATCCAGGCTGCAGGGGGAAGGGAGGGGCTGGGCTCAGCCTGCAACTGTGGCACCAAGGGGCAGGTGGGTTCCCCTTCCCTGCATCTCCCCCCAAGCTGGTGGGGAGCATCTAGTAGGCCAAGGCAGGGGGATGAAACTTGCTGTTGCTGTCTTGGCCTGAGCCTGGACCCTAAACAGCCCAGTATGTTTGGGGATGGGATTAAAAAATCCCTAGCTGCTGCTCCTAACATGTAGTCAGAAAGGGGGTCCAGCTGTTTCACTGTTCACATTCCTGCTCATGACCACCCTAACTCTTAGCTGTTTTTTTTAAAAAGGGAGGCACCCAGAACCAAACCAGCCCCTGTAGAAAGTGTTCTATGAATCTATTTTAGCAATACCCGTCATCCTCCTTAAAATTGAATCCTCTTTTATTACCTATCTTTAGTATCTGTAGCATTCAGCCTATAGAGCTTGCTTCTCTGGAGCTGCTAGAATTAAGCCCACTGGCTCACCATAGACCAGTGGTTCTCAGCTTCTTTGCTCTCAGGACACCCCTCAGAAGAAGCCAGTTCTTTCTTAGCATTCACTTGTTTTTTGACTGGGGACAAATACTAGTACAATTCTTCTGTCGCATAAAGCTGATAAAGGTCAACAGAATGTTTTGACCCTGTGGATTCCTATTTGAAATCTTTGGGTTTATCTTGGGAATCAGATAGAGGTATTTGCACATGTAATAGTGCTAATATTATGTGACTGGCTTAGAAGGATTTCATGGCACCCTGTTTAAGAATCACTGCCTTAGACTGTTGTAATATGTATCATGGCATCATAATTTACCATTAAGTAATACATCACTAGTACTTGAAAGGTCCAGAAAATGTATTATTACAATACATGGCTGTGAATTCTTTTCCTGGAGATCAAATTTGGTTTACTAGGTATTACTGAAGTGATAACTTTTATGTAAATTCTTCATAATTGACTCTATTAGGTACAGGAAAAAATGTATGTATTCTTGTATATATGAGCACATAACCGCCTATCAATATTTAATGATGGCTTGGTGTTGAGGGGTAAAGGACAGAAAATACTAGTATTAGAAAGTCAGTAGTCTGTAGGCAGGACTTCTTAGTTTGTCTTGCATGGTTATGGATTTAAAACATCCAGAATTTCAACAGAAAGTTGTAAAAATGTTATCATATTTCATTTGCATCTAATCATTTCACAAAGTGGTGCTCAGTCTCTAGCCCATCAGCTAGGTCCCCACAGGTCCAGATATCTGGTGGCAGGGGAGCAGTGGCAGGATCTTATCTGTGGCAGTAGGAGACCAGTGGCATCTCCCAGACCTAGTTTCTATGTCTACCCATATCACTGTTTTGCTATTCCAATTTGGGCAAGGCGTGCCACTATTCTTTCTTTTCTGCTTCCATTCTACCCTTATCTAGTTAGTACTAAAGTGACTGCAGACAAGACAGGTTGAGCAGTGCTGCTTTAGTACATAACTGTAGCATTAATTTTGCTTCCCCTGCCCCCCCCACCAAGAACTTGTATAAAATCATTAAATAATTAAAAATTAAGAGTAGGACTTCATAAAGTCAAAGCTGCTTAAACTTTATTCTAGTCTATTTAGGTGAAAATGGTGCTGTTCTAAATGCATTTGGTGTAAAAGTTAAGCTTTATATAACATACATTTTTTTTTTTTTCAATTTTTACAAAAATTTTCTTTCTTTCTTTTTAAAATTAGCTTTGATTTCTGTGACGTTAAGAATGTTAGAGCATGGTTTGGCTTTTATTAACCTGAGAGAAATATGTAAAAGCAAAAAAGGTGTGAAAATAATTGAACTAATGAAAATGCATCCTTTAATAACTCAAGGTATGTTTCATAAATAATGTGTTACTAACAGCTTTTGAAAAGTCCCTCTTGCCTTGTGAGTATGATATTCAATTAATTATGTAAAGGTAAATTATTTGGGGGGAAACATCAAAGGTTCAAATGGGAAATTAACTTAGCTGCTGCATTGCATCTTGTTCTTATCCATTTCTTTGGTTTGTCTAGCCTGTTTCTTATTTGGAGAACTATACTAGGCACATTGAAAATGTGCCTTAATATTCTTGGTGGGGGTGGAGGGTGGTTGTTGTTTCATGGCTGTCAGTCATGTTGAAAAACATCCATAGATAATTTGGAAGTGAGAGGGGGTGATTTCCCCCCCCCCCCCCC